CGAATGGCGTAGCCGTGTGCGGGCGGGCGACAGAGCAAAGCCACGAGAGGTGTCTATCGCCTCGAGTGTGTGGTCTCTGACATGCCTCTGGGCGGGAGTGGGAGCTCCTGCGAGCACCTTCCGACTCTGTCCCTGGCCAACCCGGTAGGGTGCCAGGATCCAATACCCGGTAGGGCCGGATGCCACTTTGTCTCTAACCCCGGTAGGGTCGCTCCCTCCAGACCCGCGGTGCAGTGCACCGAACGGCCGAAATCTGGAGTGCACTCTGGTTGCAGGGGCTTCCAGTGTGGTTTGAAGGCTTGGTTGGTTGAACAGGTAAAAAAATAAGGTTTATAAGGCTCATTGGTTAAACATCGAAGTAAAAAGATCACAATTCCAGTAAGAATTAAAGAAAGTAAGATCATAGTTAGAGATCCCCAAAGCCAATTCCTTTGGTTAATGGCTAAATAAAAACATCAATTTCTTTGGTTAATAAGTCTAGAAAAACCAGGTTTGGTTAAAAAACTAGGCGAAAAATGGCTTATTCCGACTAGGTTTACCACAGGGCAGGTTCTGTCCACACGGGTCCTAGTCAACGGTCCGCTTTATCCGGTAGGATTGGTCTGGTCCGGTAGATCCGGGGCAACGGTTCCCAGAGATGTCCACAGGGGTCCGGTGAAGTAAATCCAGCGGTGCGGTATATGGAAGGCACTGTTGCTTTCGCAAGGACAGGTTGTCCCCTTCCTGGTTCGAGTATGGTGGACCAAGCCCGGTTGGGCGGTCCATGAGGGCCAGTGAGTGAGGCCTCTGGGCAGGAGTGGTGCTCATGTAGTGGAACGGACCGAACCCGGTTGGGCGGTCCTAAAGGCTTGTAAATGATGCCTCTGAGCGGAAGGGGTGCTCCTGCTATCCAAATGACATGCTGGACCAATTCCGTTTGGATGGCCCACATAGATCTCTAACTTGGACCGGTTTGGCCTTGCATGCCAGTTTGGTCATGCGCCTCGGTCCAAAAATTGCAAAGTTCGATTGCACCCCGGTTGGGACATGCAACTCGGGCCAAAATCTTCTAAGTCCAGGAGAGCCATAATGGAAAAAATTTTTTAAGTCCCAGGGCCGAAGTGGTGTGATGGACCAAACCCGTTGGGGCGGTCCAAACTCGGTCTCTGACATGCCTTGGGCGGGATCCTAGGTTCCATTGTGATGGGGCTTGCCTCTGGCAGGTGTTGGACGCGGAAGTCCTGTATGGCGAGGTTTGGCGCTCCGATGTGGACTTAGTCGATTTTTCGACGGTCCAAAGTGTATGGCGGGCCAAAAGGACTTAGTCGTTTTTCGACGGTCCAAGGTTGATGGCGGGCCAAGAGGATTTAGTCGCTTTCGACGGTCCAAGATTGATGGCGGGCCAAAAGGACTTAGTCGTTTTTTCGACGGTCCAAAGTTGATGGCGGGCCGAAGTTGCAGACTTGTTAAGTCTGGTCCGTCTCACTGGCCGTGGGCCATGAGTTAGCTACATGTCAGATGGGCAATTTTCCCTGAGACCGTGGCCATAACAAAATTAAGTGGCTTCTGACGAAAACATCAGGTTGGCCGGGCCAAACTCCCAAAAATTAAGTTGTGGGCGCCGGTAGGCGTTTTCCACAAAGGAGTCGGTCTGCTGACTAGAAGTATTTTCATTTGGCCTCGGGGCGGTACATCATTTGGATGGGCCTCTGGACGGTCCGTGGTGAGGATGTTGGACGTGGCATGCAAGTGGGTGTACCACAACTTCTATCTGGCTCCCAAACTCACTTGTCCCAGTTGCCTGGTAGGGCAACTAAACTTGTGAGCCGCATATGGTCCGTTAGGCACACAGCAGGCCTGGTCCAACTTCTATGGGCCAGGACTCGGTCGTGGCTTGTCGCAACTTCATTGCGGGCCAGGCTGATCCATGGCTTGTCGCAACTTCTATGCGGGCCGTCGCCGCCTTCTGGGCGCTGGATCTTTTCCATGCCGGTGAACCGGGCCTTGTGCCAAGTTCGGCCCGGTGGGCTCCGTCGGATGGTCTGGGATGGCCGAGCCAAATTCATGATCCCAGCCGCTAAGCCAGAGCCTATCCGGGGAATCCGGATAAGATCCAGGGATTAAGGTCCGGTGAAGTAGACGGTACATGGCTGTAAGCCACGTTTGTTGGGCGAGGGTGACAACCGTTGGATTGTACCCATCCTGGTGTTCAAGTCCGATCCAGCTGGTATGGTCCCACTTCAAGGGGCCAATGCCGGTCCACTTCTAAGGCCGGCATGCAGGAATGGCCGTTGGCCTATTCCCGCGCTTCATGTCAGAGTTGGTCGCCGTCGCCCAACCCTGGGTTCATTGGGTCGACGACTCTTTCCTCCATCTGCGCCAATTCCTGTTCGGTGAGGTTGTCCTGTGGTTGGCTGGAGGCGCTGGTCGGCTGAACTTCTTGGCCTGGGTGCTCGGCCTGAGTCTGGACGTGTGCGGACGATCCTGTTGAGGATCGCTGTGCGCAAAACTTCGTTGGAAGTTTCCGCGTCGCCGTTCGGTTAACAAACGCTTCCGCTCCGTCGTCGAAGTCCGTTGGATGTTTATAACGGTAGTCTTTGACATGGCTCCTGAAAACATTCAAGGCGCTCTGGATTTTGACTCCCGCTTCGATTTCGTGAATCTGGTTTCCAAGGAGTGCCACCTGGGTCAGTAATCGAGGAATGATCTTCCCCTGCCGGTAGGCAACTTCAAGTTCCCAGTGGCACCGTAGATGTCCAAGTCTGGCGGCAAAGATGCGTATCATCGTGCCGTTGTACGAGTAAGCGTGCGTTCCCGGGACATCCTTATGGTCGGCCGGTTTGCATGAGATTTCCATGGCGGCCCTTGATGCTGCGATTATGAAACTGGCGTTCGCGTCCGGTAGGACGAACTGGGCCAGGTATTTGACGACGTCAAGTTGGTCGTTCTATATGTGCAGTTGGCACAAGTCATTCCGGTCCGGTCTGGTAATGGGCTGTCCAAGTAAGTTCACGTCCGTGATGCTCGATAGAGCATTGTCACGGACCATTGGATAGCCCTCACGGTTATCGATATGTTCCGCCATGCTAAAAGTACAGGGCCATTTCTTTTTCTGCATTTGCATTTCGGGTCCGGATCGGATGACGAAGGTTTGCAGGTTCTGGACAATGGCGTTAACTTGGGCCCATTTGTCCCTGGGGTATGGGATGGCGCCCATAATGTAATCCGTCACCACCCGATTGGGAAGTGGCCGGATATTGATGCCCTGGTCCTCAGCATGTTTATATGGGTCGAAGTCCGTGGCGCTGCCAGTTGGTTCGGGTTTGGCCGGTAGGTTCAACGCTGGCAGTGCGGCCTCAGTCTCCACTGGTATCTGGATGCTGATGTTATGGGCCACCGAACTGACACTTCGTTCGGGTCGCTTGGTGGACTGAGCGACAACCAGGCTGGACTCTGCCTCGCTCCGCTTTCCGGGTGATGTGCGCGTTTGGTGTTGGCGCTCTTCGGGCTAACTACGGCTTTGGCGGCCAGTTTGGTCCTGGTTGCGACTCTGGATCTGGTGACGTAAGTCGTCTGGGTTCCGCGGTAGCGGTGCCACTGGCACATGCTGTTCAGTACGCCTTGGCGGATACTGTCCTTTCAGGACGTCCAACAGTCCACCTTCCATCAGCTGCTTGGCCACCTGGTCAACCATGGCTTTGTTGATGTTTTCCAGGATCTGGGTGTATGTCGTCGGTGTGGGCATCTCATATCCGTAGGACTGAGAGCCTGACTATGGTCGCTGCTGATGTGGCTGATGTGAAACTCTTGGGGCGGCCGTTAGGCCTCGCCCTGAGGACTGGTCAGAACCCGAGTTGCGGGATCGACGTTCCCGGTCCCATACCTTCTTCAAGTCTCGAGCCGATTGGCTGAGTGGAGGAATCTGAGTTCCGGTGCTGCTCCAGCCGGGTTGTCGGGCGCCGCTGCGTTGCATAAAGATACTAGATCTCTAACTGCTCTTGGTCCCTCAGTAAGGGGAACAGGTTGCGTCCGTCATGGCTGGTCAAATGACAGTAGGCGTCAAAGTTGCCTCTAACCACTTCTAAGTAGAAACAGTAGGCTCTGTCAGTTTCATTTCTGAAGCCCGGCCGCAAGTGGTATGCGCAGGGGAACAGTTTCCGTGGGGAGTTGCCCGGCGGTCTGTCTGGTCTCCGGTATTGCGACTGCAGTCCGAACATCGCGGCTCATACTTCTGCTGTGGTGTAAGTCCCATTCTCTGTGGTAACAGAAATGAAACTTGCAGAATAAGGTTAAGTCCACTTCTAGGACAGGTCCCTATGATAATTACGCCCTATGATTTAACGTCCCTATGATTTTACACGTTATTTGTTAACTAGGCTTTTCTTGCCCAATGAATTATATCGGGATCACCCCCTAGACCCTATGCGAATTCTACGACTAGGTCACTGATGGTATGTACGCCGCTTCTTCTTGGACTTGGTTGAGGCCAATGAGGCGGGTCCGGTGGGACGAGGGCCATAGCGGTCCGGTTTATTATTCTTCATCCGGTACCGCTGCTGGGCCTCTGGCTCGTCAACAGTTTGCTCAAGCCACCCTTCGCGCAACATCTTTTTGACAATGTATCGCACGTCCTCGCTGAGGTAGTACAACCCGTTGGGGCGACTAGGGGGATATTCATTCCCGTCACTTAGCTGAGGATCGTACGTCGAGTATTGTACGTCGTATCGTCCAAGGAGTTGATTGGCCATCTCGCCTCTTGTCAAGCCCAACGGATGTTGCGTTGTGGTCAGTACCGCCAAGATGGCGTTCCGTCATTCCCAGTAGCCTTGAGGCGCATCGTCACGTCTTTCCGGTGGGAATGTGTAAAACATCTGCATGTTGGGCAGATGGGTCCGAAGGATGGCTCCTTCTTCGTAGGCCATTCGGATGTATTTCATCACCTTGGACTTGGTGACTGGTGGGCCATTCCATTTCTGGATAAGTTAAAAGACCAAGCCTCCTGTAGCAAGGGTTGTACCCGTTTAGGACAACGCCTTTAAGACTGCCTTGATGTATGCCCACGTCTCGTCCGTATTGGAGATCTTTGGCTTCTTTGAAGGATCTCCGCCGGGCCATTTCCTCGCCACTGTGGTTCTCGGTGGCGGCACATAATCAATGCGCGGTTTGGCCGGGCATGGGTCGGGTAAAGTCCACTGAATCTCACCGGCATCTGATTCTGGTGAGATGGAGTCTCGCACTCTTTCCCGTTCGGGCCGTGCACCGCTTCCACTTGGCTCAGCGTCTTCTACGCTGGCCTGACTTTCACGATCGGCGCCTTCTGCGCCACTCTGGTCCTGACTAGCGCCTCCTGCGCCACCCTGGTACTCCATGTCCTGGTCACCGTTAGGTGGCTGATTTTCATCACCAGGTGGGATTTCCATGTCATGGTCCGGTGGGACATTCATGGTCAGTTTACCGGGGCTCTGGTCATCATCGTTATCGGAGTCGGACTTTTGGGATTCCATAGTTTGGTCCAGGTTCGGCTCTTCTTGTTGTTCCTCCTCCGAGTCCTCCGGTTCGGAGTCCTCGGAGTCTGATACATCTCGGCCCGGTGGTGGCGGGCCTTTCCTCCCGCTCCTCTTTACAGCCGTGGCCTTTGTGGCCGTGGTCTTTCGACTCTTAATTGATGTGGCTGATGGAGTCGGTGAAGGAGGTCTGGACTGGCCAGCTGCGTTAGGCAGTGACACAGTGTCCCTTAGCACGGGTCGGATTCCGGCCGCGCGCATTTCTTCTGCAGCTTCTTGCCTTGCAGCCCTTTCTCTCCTTGTGACTGATGGTCGAGTGGGCTTTTCAACTGGCAAGTTCTTTCGACCAGGCAGTTTGGCCTCTTGGGAGCTTAAGTAAGCCTCCTTGGCTCTGCCGGTCAGCTTGTCCTTGGGCGGTCCAACCGCTTTCTTTCTGTCCGGATCCCATTTTGTGTCAACGTCGTGTGACACATACAGAGACCGTTGGGTCTTCTGTGGGATAAATCCCGGAATGGTGAAGCGAATTGGTTCCGCCCTATGTGCGTTGGTCGTTTCCAGGGTTCTTTCCCTGACCAGCGCAATTAGCTCATCAGCTAATCTGGTTGTGAGTTTATCCAGGTTCTCCTGTCCAAGGTAATAGAGAGCGTTGAGTGTCCTGGCGATGTCGGTTAAATTGGATCCTCTTGGGTTATGCGGTAAGCGATGGTCCTGCATATCTGATGGAAAGGAAAGTCCCTGGTACGGGAGAGTCCTGCTGGCCGATGGGCCACATGTAGTTCCATCATGCTGGTCCAATCACGGTATGTGCGGACCAGAAGTCCCATGTCCAGAATTCGAGATACCATCCGCCGCATAAAGGGTGCCGTTAGTAAACGGTCCGCCGGCGGTAGGCCTTGATATTCTTCCTTGTATTTCATACGGGACCGGAGGACGCAGACGAGGCATTGGTACATGTCTCGTCCTGTTGCGCGTCTCATCGCCCTCGCGGCTGCCACGGTTAATCGTACATAGTGATCTGCTGGGACCTAAATGTGTGTGGCCTCCGGTCCAGGATCTGGTAGTTCGGCCTCATCGTCCTAGGGCGAGGTAAGCATCACTTCTTCTGAGGGCGGTTCTGCCCTGAAGCGTGGTTCATGCTCCTCGTCCCGCCGTGAGCGATTTAGTGCGGGCTCTGCCGGTTTGTCTGGACTGTCCGATAGGACTTGGACATCTTCGTCGCCTGACAGCCGCTTTTCAAGCTGGGCGATCTTGGCCTCTTGATTTTCCTTATCCTTGGCCGCTTGCTTCTTTTGGCGGTTTCTTTCGGCCTCTGGATTAGATGTTGGCCGAGGTGTGGCCGCCTGACTTCCACTGGGTTGAGGGGAGTTTGGACGAGTGGCCGGTTTGGCCCTCGGTTGAGGAGAAGTTGGACGAGAGGCCGGTCTGGCCCTCTCTGGGTTTTTGGCTTTTCTTGGCTGCTTATTCAGTTGGGAATTAGCTGAGTGAATTACACCCATGCCAAGTGCCAAATCATCCAATGTCCCGGTTACGGGAAATGTTACTGGACGGCCAAAAGGTATGTCGTCGATGCTGGCAGGCATGTTTGTCAGTACTGTCGGAGCAGCGGCCGTTGGCCCTGTTCCGGACTGGCTTTGGCCTGCCGATTCTTGTACCGACGAAATGGCCTTCGGTGGCTCCTCCTGTTGGACCGGTTCTGGCTGTACAGCCACAGGTCCGGACGGAGAGGTATCCATTGGTTCTGAAGCTGTTGGTGACTGCGTCTTTGGCGGTACCACAATCAGTGGGGCAGTTGACGGCAGGACTTCCGCCATCACTGGGTCTTGCTCCGGTGGGGGAAAGGCCCCTTGATTGCGACGGGTCCGGTAATCTTTTACCATTCGGTAAACAAATGGCGCGAGCATCTCGGATAACATGTCGTATTCTTCCATGTTATTATGCTCCTTCGCCTCCTGTCTCTTTGTGAGCAGGAACCGATATCGCCGTCGCTCGTTTTGGTCTGCATGGATGTATAAGTGTCTCTGCTCGGTAGGAGTGAGAGCACTCATGGGCATCAGGGCCGTGTCGGCTTCCACTTCTTGGTCCGAAACAGCCGGAGTTATCTGCACCGTCATTCTGGCCGATTCTGCGACCCCTGGTGCAGGAGTCCTGACCGTGACCGTTACTGGTTCAAGTGATGAACCTGCAGACACCGTAGGTGCTGCGATTCGTTCCACAGTAATGGTCATGGTTGGCTGCTGAGGAGGTGTGGTGTCCATCCTCTCTTTGGTCGGGGACTTGCATGGCCGGCTCGGTGTGAACCTGGCAGGCGCCGGTTCGATGGCCGGCATACTGGGCATTCGCGCCGGGCTTGATGTGGCGCGTCCAGCAGAAGTCCTTTTAGATGGAGATCGGCTTCGGCGTGGCGATTCCTTCGTTGAAGGTAGCCGGACCTGACTGGTCTCATATAACGCCCTTTGGACGTTTTCGTCCAAGTCTTCTTCGTTCTCCGACTCCTCACTGGACGAGACGCCCCAGAAGGCCGCTGGCAGTTGGGGACGTTCGTCCTCACTTTCTACCTCTTCCGGTGGAAGTTGATCTTCCACTGGCTGGCCTGGTCTTTTGCGCGGTTCAACTGTCCATGCTCTTGGGTTAATGTGTGGGCCCCGTATATAGATGGCATGCTCGATAATTTCGCTAGGCAACTTGCGTTGGCGAATGGCCTGGCTCTTGCTTCGCATGGCAATCAATCTTCTGATGAGGATTGTCCGTTCTTGGACCATCAATTGACAACCTCGGTTGTCAATCTTCTGATGAGGATTGTCCGTTCTTGGACCATCAATTGACAACCTCGGTTGATGCGGTCAATTTCGCGGTCCGTTAGTGTGGGATCGCCGGCGCGTAGTCGCTGGCGCATATCCTCCTCAGTCAGATTTAAGCGTAGATCGACTTCTATGATCTTGCTTACAGCCCGGTTATGCGGGTCATCCCATGACTCCGTTTGGGTCAATCGGATGCGATGCCTCGTTGGAGGTTCGTCCCGCAATGGCTGAGTTGTTCCTGACGGAATTGCCGGTGCTTCCGGTGAGGAAAGCACATGTCCCTTGCCAGGAAAGTTCTTCGGCGGCGACTTCTTCTTCTTGGTCGGTAGGCCACGAAGTGTCAAAGTCGGTGGTTCCGGTTTAAGTATGGACGGGCCAGGCCTGGTAGGGCCGGGAGCATCTAAGTCCTTTGGCGGGCCATTCCACGCTGGGAGAGTAGGCCCGGTTGGACGAGTTAGTTCCAGGTTTTCACGTGGTCCTCTCCAAGATGGGAGTGACCGCTGCGAAGGAGGCTCTTCGGCTTCTGGAGGAGTCCTCTTCTTTGTTTTGAACCTGGGCGATTGTGGACCACTTGTTGTGGCAGGAGTGGCTGGTTCTGGCCTTCCTCCTGTCGATTTCCTGTCCGTTGGTCGGACAATAAGGGTGCCACTTGATGTGTCGCCTTCGATTGGTTTCGGCGTGGGCTGTGATAACGCCGTTGGCGCATCAACAGCCATTGGACTTGTCGGTTCACCAGCCGGTTGGACTGGTGTTGACTCCAATTCGACCGACTTCTCCGGCGAAAGCTCGAAGGTTTTATCGAGCAGGCTCACGTACCTTTCGACGTCCTGTGGTGGGACTTCAATGCTGCTGTCCGCTGTGGCGGGTCCGGCAGTGTCCACAGGTTGGTTTGACGTTGGACCAGGCACCGTTAGGGCCTGAACCAACTCAGCTGGGATTGGCTGTCCAACTGATAGTGAGGCGGCCGGTTCATATGTCAGGGCCAAAGGTGCTGGCGCAGACACTGGTGATGGTCGCCATTCATTTACTGGGTCGAAGTCGCCGGGGCGTGCCGTCGTTGACGGGCCAGGTCGTTGGACCTTCCAGTAATCTTCGATAGTCTCCTTAAGCCATTTGGTGATTATATCAAAGGCTGTCAATCCGAGGCCGGTAGGCGTCGTGTTGTTCGGAGTCATTTCTTTAAGCAGAGCTATCCGGTAGGATAGACTCTCCAGCTGCTCCTTCAATTTAGCCGCTTCTGGGTCAAAAAGGCTAAGATCCTGTATTTGGTTGTTTAGACGGCGCTCAATGTCCTCGGCGTCCCTGATAAGGTGCCGAATCCTTAGTGCTTGAGCAATCGTCATCTGTATTGGCCCAATGTCAGCATCGCGCAACCGTTGGTCCGCTTCTGCTTGGTCTTCGTCCCATTGTTGACGTAAGATCCGAGGGGCCGGTTGATTGACGTTAGCCAAGGTGAGTACAGGGAAGTCGTCCGCATAAGCTGGTCTGCCTTGCGGAACGCTGCCCCTCATGATCAGTTCCAGGCGTTCCGCTATTTCTGGTGGCGGTGCCAGTGAAGTTGGTCTAGGGTGGACCTGTCGTTCTGGCGCGACCATGTGATCAGGCGGAGCTGTTAATCCCGGAACTGGGATTGGATCTGGCATGTCGAGCCAGTCGATGCCGCTGTCGGTTTCTGTATCCGACGCGCTGGCTGGTCGACTAAGTGCCGGTCCGGCTGCAAATCGTTCAGCCGAGATCCGCATAATTCTCAAGAACCGCATCCTCAATTCTTCCGCCGGTCGGCGTGTTGAGGATTGTGTCGGCGTGAGAAGTCCGGTTTGTCCTACGCGTGTTGGCTGTCCCGGTCGAGGTTTGGGCAACACGCGTCTGAGTGCTTCGTCGATCAGGCCAAGCTAATATTGCCGGTTACGAAAATCGCGCAATGCTGGCGCGTCATTGGCCGTATTTAATGGCTTGTCCATAAACCGCAGCATGGCCCGTCGGATCCTGGTTATGTATTCCAGGACGCGTTGGAATTCTAAGTCCAACGCGACTTTTCTCCGTATGGTGGCGACGTCAATGCCTTTCAGGCTGGTAATGGCTTTGCGGATTTCCTCTTCTAGGAGTTCCGCCGCGTGTAATTCGCGTTCCAGGGGCGGTATGTCTGGATAAGCCCTGAGGTCGTACGGAGAAGATGCTGGTTCTCGCGATTCCAGTCCAGTGTCCAGTAACATTGCCTCGTCGGTAGATGTAGGCTGGGCCACTGGTGGCGCGGAAAATTCCCCTGTCGTAGTGGTAACTACAACTATTGGGTTCTGTGGGGGCGGTGCAGATGGTGCTGGTGGCGGACGTGTAGGTGCTCGGGTTGTGAGTTTGCACGTGGTTCCATTGTGGTTCTATGGTGGTTCTATGGAGGTTCTGTGGTGGTTCTATGTGGTTCTATGGGCTCCAGAAAACAGAGCTACTATGTGAGCATGCCGGGTTGTGACTTTGCACGTGGTTCCATTGTGGTTCTATGGTGGTTCTATGGAGGTTCTATGGTGTTTCTATGTGGTTCTATGGGCGCCAGAAAACAGGGCTAGTATGGGAGCATGCCGGGTTATGACTTTGCACGTGGTTCTATGGAGGTTCTATGTAGGTTCTATGGTGGTTCTATGTGGTTCTATGAGCGCCAGAAAACAGGGCTAGTATGGGAGCATGCCGGGTTATGACTTTGCACGTGGTTCCATTGTGGTTCTATGGTGGTTCTGTGGAGGTTCTATGGTGGTTCTATGTAGTTCTATGGGCGCCAGAAAACAGGGCTAGTATGGGAGCATGCCGGGTTGTGACTTTGCACGTGGTTCCATTGTGGTTCTATGGTGGTTCTGTGGAGGTTCTATGGTGGTTCTATGTGGTTCTATGGGCGCCAGAAAACAGGGCTAGTATGGGAGCATGCCGGGTTGTGACTTTGCACGTGGTTCCATTGTGGTTCTATGGTGGTTCTGTGGAGGTTCTATGGTGGTTCTATGTGGTTCTATGGGCGCCAGAAAACAGGGCTAGTATGGGAGCATGCCGGGTTATGACTTTGCACGTGGTTCCATTGTGGTTCTATGGAGGTTCTATGTAGGTTCTATGGTGGTTCTATGTGGTTCTATGGGCGCCAGAAAACAGGGCTAGTATGGGAGCATGCCGGGTTATGACTTTGCACGTGGTTCCATTGTGGTTCTATGGTGGTGCTATGGAGGTTCTATTGTGGTTCCATATCCATAGAACCAGTAAGTCACTAATGTCCTAACTTGGACATTCTCTCGATTTTCCTGCGCTCAGGTGTTTCGAGCCGCTAATTAGTGCTGTGGATTGCCAATAGACAAATACATATAAAGGATTTATCATTGGATATTGGATTTTTGATGTGCATTGGATTTTTGCGTAATCGTTTTTCTTTCCGCATAAGATTATAAGAAATTTGTTGCACAACTACGAGTATTTATAAAATAATTGGTTAAAATATCGAAACAGGATAAAAGGAAGCTTAATACAGAGCGAAGAGAAAAATTTGATAATTTTCTGTGCTACCGGTCTTGATTTTTAAGCAAACCATTTTTTCGGAGTGCACTTGCAGCCAAAGTTTTCGCAAATGCTCTTGTATTGTTTCATTTGGGAGTTACTCTTCCGGTCCAGGGCGTTCCCATCCTTGGGATGCTGGTTGCAGTAGTGGCGCTCCGCGTCCATTCTCATGGAAAAAATGAAAGCAGCGACGCATGCACCGCAACGTGGCTTACGCACCGAGCCGGTTACTACAGGAATACGATTACAATAATTGTGCTGGAATACAACAGAAACTAGCAAAACTGATCTGTTGTTTGTTCACCTTTCGTCATATCAACACAGACTCCTTTGTGGCACACCAGTTCACCACAGCATGCAATTGTGTCCGCACATTCGATGCCTTCCAGAGCGCAGATAGCATAGACATTGGTCACCTACAGAATCATATTGTGAGTCCATGCACCGGAAAAATGCCGCATGGTGCACGACCGCTCATCATAATTTCACGCGAAAAAAAACGCGATTCGGAAGCGTATGTGCAGCTGTAAGAATAGGTGCAACGGTGAGAACGTAACACTGACAACAACGTACCCACATCAGAAGCAAAATGATACAGCATGCATTGAAATGCCCCATTTTTGTCCCCTTTTTGGATGATATTTAGCGGGAATCGGCACATATAAACGAGAGTTCCCATAGCAAAATATAGAAATACTCTGGAAAATTTAGCTTGCTCCTTGTAATACAGCTATATAAGCTGATCACATGCTCTACTTTTCCGATATCGCTGTCGATTTTATCGACAGCGATATCGCTTCAGCTAAACCTTGACCTGACACAATAATTTGTTATTAAGATAAATTCACTGTTCCGGTCTCAGCACAGCTACCTGCGTTCGTACGTACAAACTAGAATTATTCTATTAAAAACTCTAAACGGAACCGTACTGGAATTTAAACCTCGTTTTCATCGTACAGTCGCAGTGGTATTAACGCATTCATCGGAAACCTCAGAGTGCGAAGCAAGTAAAGCGGCATTATGCCTGCCTTCGAGGCAGGTGGTTCGGGTTCGACTCCTGGGTTTCGTATATTTTTCGAGCTTGACATAATTGGGATTATGTTGTATGACTTTACTGTGCGTTTGTACGAGTGTTCCCTGTTGTACTAGCGATGACGTATAATCCGTGTTCTTATCGGTAGCCTCCGATCAGAAGCTGCGCTTCGTCGTCGGCTAGCATTGAGTAGTTACGGTGTGACTGAGTTGGAGTGAACATCAATAAGATTAAAACGAGTAACATCATCTGTCCTGTTGGTGTTTGTGCTGTGAGTGACCTTCGTGTAGGGAAAGCAGTAGTGTGTACCTAGGCGGAAGTTACTGTGTGGTATTCCTGTAGTGTGGTAGTGAGTGTGGTGAGAGTGTGGTTGTGTAGCATCTGTTGTCTACGGAAGTGGGCAACAGAAACAACACCAATCTCCAGAGTTCCTTCTCTGCTGACTGCGGTCAGGTTGGTAGTACTACACGCGGTGCGTGTAGTATGTCATGGCGCCCACCGGTATGAACAACCCCAAGGAGGGAGATTGGTGAGTGGTTTGTGATTTTGATAATTGTGTTGGTTTTGGTTGTGTGTCCGTATTTTTCTCAGAGGAAATTACGAGGTACTAGTTCCTAAGTGGAACTGGGAGGCCGAGCCTTAATTTGGTTTGTCCGCTGCGGGAGTGGCGATCCACAGATTCCTTAGTGGAAGGCTGTGAGGTACCGTTCCTAAGTGGATACGGGTGAAGTACTGATCTTTGTGGTCTGATTAATTTGGAAAAATTAATCTGTGACTGTGGATATTTGGGCGCAATACAGTGGGTCACTGTATTTGTGATGGTGTTACTGTAGAATTGTACTGAAAGTCGTGGAAGCGGCTTTGTCAGTGTTCTAGGTAACATCCGGGTTGAAGCGAGCGCTGATTGCTATCAGTGCTGTGGTGGAATCTGCTGAGTCATTGGATTGTGAGCTGGGTCATCCAGTCACTGTGTGTGCAAGCGGTAAACAATGGAGGGGTCATCGACTTAGCCATCCGTCGTTGCTGCTGAAGGAAGCAAGAGTGCCCTGGAACACCCGTCCAGTGGTAATGGTACTGTGAAAAGTCGTCGGAAAGGTATGTTGAATGCAGCTGATTTTGCGGTAATGTGGCAGAAAGCAAATTACGTTAATCCGCCTGTAATTCAATGGCATGTGCCTGAAGGAAAAAATTTGGAAAATTTTTTCAGTAAATGGAAACTTATTTTACCGAGATCTGGTGAATTAAACCAGGAATGGCTAAATTTTGATTCTGGTAAAATTAGTCGAAAACCTCCTGGTTTTGATGTGTGGATACAGAACGGTAGGAAGATTCCTACGCGTTTAACTGTTCATTTAAACTTGGTTGATTATGATGAAGAATTTGGCACGGATTTGCATGCCGTGTGGATGCAATACGTCGAAGCAAGAATGCAGGTTTCTGCACCCGGCACCGGTGCAGCTGTGAGTGAGTCAGCAGTTCGGAGTGGCAGTGCTTTGGTAGCGCAGCTTGATCAAAATGCTGATAGGCGGCTGAGCGCAGTCAGTGCAGACAGCCTTCTTGCGGATGCTCAGAACGGTCAGGTAGCTGATCAGTCTGCAATGGAAAATGCCGATGATCCAGGCCTAGATTTTTCTGCTGCTGATGTTTTCGCACAACAATTAAATGGAAGTTTAATTGATAACGAGCATGTTGAAGTTGAGGATGATGACAATGCTTTGAACAAATCATTGTCAGATGCAATTGACGCGCTGGAGAAATCTAATGCTGATTTAATTAACATGACTGTTAATAATCAGACAGGTAAAGCAGATGTGATGTCATCACAGTATGCTGATCTGGATCGAAAGTATAATCAGGTGGTATCTGATTATGTTCAGTTAAAGAATGAGTACGATTGCATTCATGCAGGTGCTACTGCATTGAAATCTGAATTGCAGAGTGCTGGTAAGAAGAATTCTGATCTGGTTTCTCTGAATGATAAATTAATTGTTGACCGTGATACTGCAAATGCATTGTTGCAGAAGGCAGAAAGAGATTTAGCAGCGGAGCGTGCTAGATTTGAAGCTGATCGTGATAAATTACAGAAGGTTCTCAATGATAATTGTGAACTGCTGAAGCAGAAGTATGACAAGTTTCTGTCTGAAAAGAAAACATTTGATGAAAATGTTTCAAAGTTTAACCGTGAGCGCAGCCAGTACGTTGGACAGGGAGGTGTGGCCAATAAGCCTGCTTTATCGGTTATGAATCAGTCTCGTGTGCTAGGTGCACCTGTCCAAGGTGTACAGCCGGAAGTGCGTGTACAGGGTGATGTATCGCCCGTACAGTCGGATGTTGGTTCGGTAATCTCAGAAGCAGTGAGGTTACAGTTGAATGCTCTGGAAGAGCGCATGAAAGGTGTCGAGCGGAAGCAGCAAGTTCAGAACGATAAGCTGGAGAGCTACAGGGTAATGCGAAGTCATGTTCATGACTTGCAGGTACGACTCGGTGAGTCTCGTACTCCCTCTCCTACGTTGTCTGAAGTGAATACAGTTGTATTCCACAACTTGCAGTTGAAGCTGGAACAGCTTGAAAAGCGTGTTAAGGAACAGGAAGAGAAAGGCAAAGGGACTTTACCTTTCGATATGGATAAGTTCGCAAGTGCAATGAAAGGTGCATTTAAATCAGATTTAATGTATCCTGAGAAATTCGATGGTAAAACCGATACGAATAAAATTGAACATTTTATTCTTAGTGTGGAAAATTGTAAGAATCATAATGGCTGGGAAGACAGTGACGTCATTGACAAATGTCTGTCGCGTTGTCTTACCGGAACGGCTTTGACTTGGTATTTTGATAAGCATGCCAGTCATAAAGGCAAGAAGTGGTCCGTATGGAAAGAAATGTTACGTAACCATTTCTCGGATGAAACCGATTTAATGGCGGTACGGGATAAAATTAGCAATAAGAATTTTGCTAGTGATGATACGCCTAATTCATATGTGGATTGGTTTACGGCGTCATTCAAGAAGTTGAACTTGAATGAGTCAGAGCGTGTTTATTACCTGAAGCAAGGTTTGAAGAAGTATCGTTTCGGTTGGTACAAGTATATGGAAGAACACGACGTAAAGAGTGTTGAAAAATTCCTTGATGGATTGAAATTGCAGTATAAGTTACGTAACAATGAACAGAATCGGTTCATTGTTGACAAGTCGAAAGGCAGTGGTGTTGCTGACGGAAGTGCAGTAACAACTGGAAAGTCTGCTGGTGAGAATGTCAGTGGTGCGTCTGGTTCTGATGCTCGAGTTAAACTGAAGAGTGATTATGCGAAGTGGTTTTTTCCTGATGGAAGTCCGATCTGCTTCAAGTGCCATGGCGCACATGTGAGCAGTAAATGTGCAAGTACTGCGGCGCGCAAGCCTGTTATGGCTGAACCGCCACAACAGTTGATAAAAGAATACATGTTGAGAAAGGTTACAAAACCGGAAGCTAAACGCATGGAATTAGTGCGTCCAGTTATTGAGATTAATAACGTGGAGGTGACTCGTACATTACGGGATAATGTACCAGTGAAAGGGCAAGACTGCATTAGAGGCGTCAAGCCCAGTGTGCACTTCAGCTCGCTACGCAAAGAATGCAGGAAGCCGCTTTGCAGTGGGGGTGCCACGTGTAACCAGTCATGTACCGGTGGTACATTGACTAAATCTCGGTTTGAAAAGGACAGTTAGCTAGCTAAGTGAAGTTAAATTCGTGGTAAATTCCATGTATTGCTTTGTTTCGCGTCGGCTCAGCCCACTTTCTTTGTTATGGCTGGCGAATACGCGTGAGTTGCCGCCGGCCAGTGCACACGGCCCCACTGCTTTTTGCATTCTCTTCTGATCAGTCGTGTTGACGAGCTGCTGTATTATCATTCTGATGATTAGCCCTCTCCTGTTTTTCATTTCTTCACTTATTTTCCCCTCAACATTTTCATAAATTAAGAAATTCCACCAGTGGAATCAGTAAATAATGTCTCCAGCCACCAGGAGCAAGAAAACTACAAAAGCAGCGCAGTGCCGTCGGGAACCCTCGCAAGAGTGCCATCAAGAAAAGCGCTCTTAAAAGTGTCATTGTTCGGCCTGAGCCATCTGGATCGAACGATGTTCACTTAATGGAGCCTACTCTTCAGTCCGTCTTCCAGCAGCAGCAAAAACATCAGCAGCAGCTGGACTCGCTGCTCACCATCATGAAATCTCAGCAGCCTCAAGCAATCCGGCCGCTGTCGCCTTCGTCAAACCTTCAGATCCAGCTTGGTGACGACTTCGGGAGAATCGTGCGCCAGGTGGACTCTGCAAACAAGGCGGATAAAGGAAAACGCAAGCGTCATCGGAACCGAGGTGAGGAAAGTGGTACCTCATCCTCTGAACAGGAAAGCGACAATGACAGCTCGCCGGAGCGTAGCGCAGTGCCCCAGCGCCATGGCAACCGCCCTGATGTGTTCAGCCACTTAGGGCCACCGATGCTGCAACCGTCTGCATCTGATTCTTCTGTTCACCAGCTGCCATCCATTTCGGATAAAAAGCTACGAAAGAAATTGCTAGACCTTTCGGAATATGTGGACTTTGATCTGTTGCTGCGGCGAAACAGGGTCGAAAAGCCCAAAAGCTGCAGTCGAATCTGTCCTTGTGGATGGAAAGATAACCCTTACCCCTGAAGATGGCAAAGTCAGAATTGACT